GCATTGAGCTGGTGCACACAGCGGGCAAAGATGCGCCACAAACGCCGCTGGAACAGAAGCTGGCGAGCGCCATGGACGAGAGCGACACGACGCAGCTGCTGGCACCCGTTGCGGCAGTCGAGCAGGAGCCGTCGTTGCACTTCGAACAGGACATCACCGACAATTCGGAGAGCAGCGATTTCGAGTCGGACTCCGAGCTGCGCGAGACCAGCATGGAGAAGGAGGACAGCTTAACCATCAGCTCGAGTGGAGCCGGCGGTGGGGGCGACGACGTCAAGCGCTTTGTGGGAGACTGCGAGCGTGTGACTGAGGCGCTGACGCAGCACGAGAGGATCAAGAGTCGCAAAGCGTATCGAGTGACGCGAGAGAAGACGCCAGGCGAGTCGAGCCTGAATGAGCCAGAGGAGCCGGCGCCAGTGGACAATGAGCATGCGCTGCCAGCGGATGAATACTTCAGCGAGGCAGCCGTGGGCAAGAAGTTGGCCAATGAGCTGCGCAAGCGTAAGAAGCTCCTGACCAGCAGCGAGAAGAAGCGGCTGAGCTGCATCTCCAAAACGTCGACGGACAGCAACCACAGCAATCTGGCAGAGTCCCTAGAAACAGAAGCAACAACAACAGCAACAACAGCAGCTGCCGGCGCCGGCGCCACGCACAGCGATGAGGAGACAGAGCTGGCCAATGAGCCGTCGAGCAACCAGAGCACCATCAATGTGGAGGATAAGCGACGCAACCTGTCCCTGGAGACGAGCAAACTGCAGCCGGATTGGCAGAAGACGCTGGAGAAGAGCAAGCAGAATGTGGAAATCTTGCGACAGAATGCAGCGGCAGCGGCAGCAGCAGCAGCTGCGGCAGAGGAGCAGCTGAGCATACGCTCATCGACCAAGAGCAGCAGCTCCCTGGGCATTGGCACGTCCAGGCAGACGGATGCAGCGCAGCTCTATCACAATCATTTGCTGCTCTACCTGGCCATCTATGATACGCGTCAGACGCTCTACGCGCTGCAGACGTTGCGGAACATCATTTGCTGCGACAAGCGCACCTTCCTGTGCCTCTCAATAACGACGTCGTTCAGCAGCGGCAGCCTGAAGCAGCTGCTCATTCGGCATCGGAAGAGCATCTCGGGCAAGGGATTCGCCGGCAGCGTTAGCAACTCGGAATATGCCCAGGGCTATCGGGGCTGCATGCAGCTGGAGCTGTTGGTCACATTGCTGCTCTTCTATGCACGTGGATATTTTCAGCGCGAGTCCTTGGATCCGCAACGGCAGCCGCCCACGCTACAGGATGTGGTGAATAATCGTCGCATCCAGCTGGAGAGCATCGAGCTGCTGGCCCTGATCTGCACCGAGCTCATCGACATTGTCAAGGGCATGGGCCGTGGCCTGGCCTGCTACATTGCGGATCTGCTGGTGCGCGCCAAGCTGCAGAAGGTGATGCTGCACTGCCTCAATAGCTCGGTCTGCAGCTACGCTAGGCGCGCGGGCAGCAGCTATGCGGATCAGGTGCTCAGCTTCAATGATCCGCAGGACGATCATCTGCACGCGGATTGCTTCCAGCTGCAGCTGTTGCGTTTGCTTCTATCTGTCATACGGCTGGAGCATGAGGTGCATCAGCTGCGCCAGGATACGCCCAGCGCTGGCGCTGCTGAGGATACAAATGCCTCAGGCAATGCCTCGCCCACACGGCTGGCCGAGGGCGCCGCTGCCAATGTCAAGTACTTGCCCAACTGCCTGATCAGCCAGCAGCCGATGTTTCTGGCCGCCGTGCTGGGTGCACTGCAGCAGGAGCGTCTGCGGCACTTGCATCGCAACTGGACGGATCTGGTGACCAGTTCGCTGAACTGCTTCAGCTTCGGTTCGCTGACGAACATTGTCATCAGTGTGGTGCATCAATTGTGCAATAATCTGGATCGCCTGGCCAAGCTGACGCTGCCCCAGCAGCGCCACTTTCCGCCGGACTATGTGCTCTCCCAGCTGGAGGCACTCACCATCCTCTGTCACTATTGCCTGCTGGACAATACGCAGCAGACGGCGCTGTCGCATCTATTCAACCAGGCCTATCCGCAGACGAGCGTGGCCGCCCAATCCTCCAGCACCGGGCAGCTGCTCAACAGCATTGTGCATTCGTTTCTCTCGGCCAGTGAGTCCACATCGACAGCAACGGCTCCACGTAATCCTCAGCTGCAGGCCGCACGCAATGCTGTGCTCTCGCACCTGCCGCGCATCATGACCAGCGTGGCGGCCATTTGGGACAGCGAACTGGGTCAGCTGCGTCCGGTGCGGCAGCAGCTGTTGGAGTTCCTCTCGCCCGTCTCACTGCATCATGGCTGCAATTTCCTAACGGCCATCGCCGTCACCTGGCAGCAACGTGGCAGCACCAGCGCCAGCGCCAGCGCCAGCAGCTCCTCCGACATTGCCGAACAGTTCCAGCGCAACTCCACGCTGCAGGCTTGCCCGGCACAGTTGAGCCTGGTCTCGCTGGTCTCCAGCATACGGGTGATGCCCATGGACTCGTTCGTGCAAACCCTGCATCAGGTGGTGAAGTCACCGCCGCCCATACACCGCCCGCCCGCCCAGCTGAGCATTGAGGTCAGCGCGTTGGAGTTGTTCTATTTCTATATGAGATCAGCGCCAGCGCCACAGCTGGCCGATGCTTGGGCCTCGTTGCTGGTGCTCATCCGGGATGGTTTGAATCTCACGCCACCGGCGCAATTCGCGCTGCTGATGCTGCTCAATGAGTTTGTGCAGCGCTGTCCCCAGATGCCGTTCCCCGATAAGAAGGAGGTGCGCGAGCTGCACGACGTGACAGCCCGGCTCGTGGAATCGCTGTCTAGTGTGGCGGGCGCCTGCCTGGAGCAGACCACCTGGCTGCGGCGCAATCTGGCCGTCAAGGAGGACACCGATGGCCTGGCCAAGGATAACAGTCTGGGCGGTGGCATTCAGCAGTATTCGCTGCAGGCACAGAGCGTGCTGGCCAGCATCCTGTCGAACCTGCTGGATGTCGCCTATGGCTCGCAGGAGAAGGACAAGGTGGTGACAATTGTGACGACGCTGTTGTATAATATAACGCCGTATCTGAAGAATCATACGGCACGCAATGTGCCCTTCTTCTATGCCTGCTCCGCCCTGTTGGCCAGCCTCAGTGGCTATCAGTATACGCGCAAGGCTTGGCGCAAGGATATGCTGGATCTGCTGCTCGATCCGGCGTTCTTTCAAATGCACATCTCATGCCTGCCCTTCTGGCGCCAGATCATGGACAGCCTGATGACCTACGACAATATCACATTCCGGGAGCTAATGACACGGGTCAGCCTCTCGCAGGCGGGCGGCCTGAGCATCTTTGCGCCCAGGGAGCAGGAGTACGAGCTGCGTGCGATGCTGCTCAAGCGACTCGCCTTCGTCATCTACTGCAGTGAATACGATCAGCATAATAAGTACATGCCGGATATTCAGGGTAGGCCAATGATGCCAATCTTCCATAAAGTTCCGCTTTCTTATGTTTCTCTTTATCCCATCTCTCAGAGCAATTGGCCAACAATTTGCGTTTGGTGCCCCTTGGCCCGTCGGTGCAGGCAGCCGTGTTTCTCTGTTTCCGTGTCCTGCTGTTGCGCATGTCCGCCGACCATGTGACCTCGCTGTGGCCCATCATCATTGCCGAAATGGTGCAGGTGTTTCTGCAAATGGAACAGGAACTCAAGGCGGAGAGCGACGAGCGCGGGTATGTGGAAAATTTATAACTCATACGTGGAATATAAATTCATATCGATTAACTCCTTCCCATTGCAGTCAACAAGCACGCCTGCTGCCTGGCATTGATGTCTCCTGGTCATCCTCCAATTCGAGTGCACCAAATGGCATCAACGCACAGACGCCGATGCAGCAGTGGCGCGCGGTGCAGCTGGAGGCATGCAAGCTGCTCGAGCTGGGCTGCGTGTTGCCGGCGACAAAGTTGCCGCATTTCCAGATGTATCGCTGGGCCTTTGTGGGCACCGAGTTCGATGTGCACGAGGAGGTCGTCTCCCTGCCCGTGCCCAATGGAAGCATTGAGAACTTGGCTGCCTTGCCGAACGCGCTGTATGTGCCGCATGTGCGACGTGTGGCACGGCTGATGGACATGAAGTATACGAGTCACTCGCCGGTGAGTAGGAGCAGATTTGTAGATTACGAATATCGACTATTAAGTAACTAATTCTGGTTTGCAGTTGTTGCAACGTCCACGCAATCGGCATCTGATGCTGAATTTCCAGCAGTTGCAGTCGCTGCTGGAGCTCTATCCTTTCTTCTGCACGCTGGGCGTAAGCTGCACGAATACGTGCAACTATTCGGATACGGAACAGAACGTGGCTAACTGCTTGCAGGAGATTGAGGATTTGTTGGCGCAAGATTTTCTGGAGAAATTGCCGAGTATTACGACGCCCAGATGAAAACTGGTGGCTGGCGGCGGCGGAGGCGGAGGTGTGGGTGCCGCAAGCAACAGACAGACGACACAGGCGAACATCCAAACGACAAGCCTAACCAAGTTCGAGCTGGAGCTTAATCTAAGCGGAGCAACGCCCACAATTAATGGTCAAGCGGCGCGCATCTTTGCGGCTGTGCAAGCGAAGCTGAGCAGCCAGAATGCAGAGACGAGCTTCATGCAGAAATCAAACAACAAGACCAACTTTCCATTTTATGTTTAACGAGAAAGATTAAGAGAGAGAGAGAGGGAGAGGGAGGAGAACGGCGAAAGTCACGTAACGTTACGAATAGCTAGTTAGATAGATGCAGCCTAGTATATATATTATACAATGTATTAATGTATTGAATATTATATGTTTATAGCTTGTTGAGTAAGTCCTATGTGAAATGTTTAGCTTTTAGAGTAGTGGCACACACACACACACACACCCTGTATATGTATATGTATGTGTATATTTCAACTGTTGATAGCTGATAGCCGAAGTAAACGACAAATTGCAATTCCACGCCGACAATTCTCTTGAATTCCATATCAAAACAAATGTGTTCAATATTCATTTGTTTATTTATAAATACGTTTTGTTTTTCTTGTATAAAATGAAGGCACTCGGTAAACTCTTAAATTACAACGAATCTGCTAGCTAATGCAATTCGAGAAAGTATTAGAATAGAAAAAATAAATGAAAAGCGATTAGAGATTTAACGCGAAATGCAATGAGTTAAGAGAGATTCAAACGACGACCGTATGCTGCGGATTGCCCTGACGGTTCTTCAGCTGCAGATGATACGAGTAGACGATGCGGGCGCAGAACAGACAAATAACTGAAAGGAATAGCAAAGGATATATGAATATCAAATATTGTATATGATTTTATGTTCATGTTCACTTACGCATCATCACAATGTAGAAGAGCAGCGCGAGGATGACATTGTTGAAGCCGGACGCCTCGCGATAGCCACCAAAGTGGAAAATGGTGCCAAAGATGGCAAACGGAAAATTGATGGCAATCAGCAGGGCATAGATGAGCCAAATGCCAACCAAGATATGGTTATACTACAAGGAGAAACAATAACAAAACAAATTGTTTAATATGTTCAAGATATTGAATATTTTATTAGAAAACAAACTTTTTAGGCTGCCCTCGCATATAAATATGCATGGCAAAGCCTTGACTGTTAAACGTAGAAAGTTAATTATCATTAGCTAATTAAAAGAATTCTAGATGGCTAAACATTCTAAGCGCGACTATTAGATGCCCTGTTTTTGAGTAATTAAAAGCCATCAGAATAATACTTAAAACAAAAATCAGTAACAGCTGTATTAATCTAATACCGTATTGACTGAATACCGTATTGACTGTTAAAATTTATAGATTATTCAGTGAATTATCGTATACGAATAATCGCAAATATAGTTACAATTTTAAAAGCGACTGTCAAGGCATTGAAGTATCGTTTACAACAATTGCAAAATCTAGTTTTATTACTTAAAATTTCATTCATGTTGCCAACTGCCAAAATACTGGAATATTGGAATACGGTATTCACAAATCCTATTGGAATATTGACTTGGTTATCGTACAGTCCAATCGTTGAGCTCACTAGCAACAGCTTTCTCATATCGTATACGCCAATTGCATGCACGTTTCTTATTGGAATGCACATGATCTAATAGGCTCTACTCCATGCAAGCTGATTCATCACTGCGAAAACTTCAATTGCAACTGAAGCAACTCAAAGTTGGATTTTTATTTGGTAAGTGATTACATCACAATTTTCATTCTGATCTCATCCAAGTCAAGGTATCAAATAATGGCTACGTACATACAAAAGTAATATAATTATATGTATGTATGTATGCAGATTAGGTTAATGCAGTCGGAGACTCGAAAGGGTAGACAGCAAATGTTTAATCTCATTTAGCAATGAATCATGTTTTTCTTGAGAACAGTTGGTATCTACTGTGTGCATATGCCCCGCTACCCTATTGAGCACAGTTTTATATTTAGAATTTTTGTTTTCTTAAATATAACACTTGTTGCCCGTTTAGAGCATAAGTGTATGTGTGTGTATATATATATAT